ACTGTAATGGCGGATACAAGTCATTATACATTTGTCAAAACCCATACATTTGTCAACAACACCAATAGTGAACCCTAATGTAAACTATGGACTTTGGTTGATAATGTTGTGGCACTGTAGGTTCATCAGAGGTAACAAATGTGCCACTCTGGTGAAGGATGCTGATAATGAGGGAGGTTATGCATGTGTAGGGACAGGGGTGTATGGGAACTCCCTATGCTTTCTGCTCAGTTTTGTTGTGAACTTAAAACTGTGTTAAAACATAGTCTACTTTTTTAAAAAAATAATAATATGAAGAAAAAGTGGAGGTGCTTTGATGGAAGCTGTGGCAAATGGAAGGAAGAGAGTGGAAAGAGATGGAGCCTTTGCTCCTCCTTGTCCCCTAAGTGTTTGTTGAGATCTGGGGACCTTTGGATTTGAAGGAATTCCAGAGACATAGAGGACAAAGCTAAATGGCTTAGCAAGGCAAACAAGGGTTCTTATAATCAGACCTAGCTTTCTTTCCAGGCTCATTTCTTGCTGTTCCCCAATACATTGTACTCATAATATTCTATAAATGTGACCTGTTTCCCCAAGTACCTCCCCTTGGTGGAGTCTCCCTCTGGAGTCGCCGTTGCTTGCATTGCTTCCTGTATTAAACCTTTTGCCCTCCCTCTCCACTTGACTTCTCCCTTCAAGTGTCAAGCCAAGTGATAACCCCTGTTCCCACATCAAGCTATCCCAAATCCCCCAGGAGACCTTCTTTGCGCTTCACTTGCCCTGTACTCTCCATTACGGCATCTGTCAGATACATTATCAGTTTGTTTTTTTGCAAGCCTAACTCCCACTGCACTATGATAAATTTGAGGGCAGGCTCCATGCTCTTGTCCTCACATCTCCTGTAACTAATGCCTGGCTTCATAAATGCTTGCTTAAGAATGAATAAATGAATGAGTGAATTAATGTAAATTCTACCATTTTTCTCTTGTAAGACAGTTCCACCTCCTACCAGATCGAGGTAAGTTTGGTCACTCTGAGTTTATTCCTTTCCCATGAGTTTTTTGACTTCAAGTATTGACAATAATGGGCAGTATATTTACAGAGCAGGCCAGCCACAGCAACCCACAGGTGGGATTGACCACATAATATTAATATGTCTTCCCATTTCTCTCCTTGGCAGAGCTGTGTTCTTTCGGATGTACCATCAGTTCACTCTCAAGTTACTTCACCTTTCTACTCCCATTTACACATTTGCTCTTAGTTCACCAAAAGGAAAATTAGCAGAGCAAGGAACTTCCAGCTGCTCCTTCTCTGGTAGAGAAGAAAGTCAGAATTGTTAGCTTTAACTATGACTTTTAGAGTATTTCAAGAAAAGACATCTATAGCTTTTTGATTTCCTGGCAGTTTTACTACTTAATTTCTAAGGCCTCAGTTGAACATGGGTAGTGACTGAACTGACATCCTAAGCCTACAGCAGTAAACCCAGCTCCATTTGGATTTGACAGCTGGGGTCTGCAGAGCCTGACAAATTATCTAAGGCTGGTGCATTATTTCTTTCTATGAATTTCTTGTCTCCTCTGGCTTATAGAGGCAGTTCAGAAAAGTTCTCAAAGAGTGCTTATTCAAGTTGTCAAGCTCTGTTACCTGTTTTGAATGAAGCCTGAATGTTACCTGTTTTGAATTATCAGCATCCTTCACCAGAGTGGCACATTTGTTACCTCTGATGAACCTACAGTGCCACAACATTATCAGCCAAAGTCCATAGTTTGAACTTCCTTGTTTCCTCTTATTTTTCATGCAGTGTCTTATCACAAGTGTTCAGGCTCTTCAAAAAACTTGAAGCTCAAATCAGAATTTGCTGCTCCTGAATCAAGTCTGTTTCAAAGTTCGTTAAAATGCCTGCAGCTCATATACAGTCTACAGTTTTAAATAAATAAATAAATAAACAAAAACTGGAGACTGGCCTCTGGAGACTGGGATTGCACAGGCACCTGAATCTGTTATTGTCTTAAGGGCTTTCAGTTGAGTTTTCTGTGTACTTATTGACTAAACTATTTTCCACCATAGATACAAGCTTGTAAATAGTTGACCAATGCTTTTGCACTACATGTATTTCTTACTTTACATTAATAGGTAATTCCTTTCAATAATGAATACTGAACAGTTATTTACTGTAAAGATATTCTTAAAAAAACTAAGGTCAGAGTGTCCCTGGTAATGAATCTCCAGGGTCTTTCAAATATGAGTAAATAGTAACAATATCAGAGCCATAAATTAAGCAAATGTCAAATTACCTTAGACTTATGGTGAACAATTACTGCCTTCACCTCCCAAGTCAGATTGTTAGGAAAAATCAGAAAAATTCAGACACTGGTGGCTTTCCGTGTCTTTGAAATACCCCCTCACACATGCCAGCTCTGAATCTCACACATCCTCAGGGCTCTCGTGTTGTAGTTACTGACCCACCCTGGTCACTCCCTCTCGTTCTTTGAAAATTTTAGCTCATTTCTCACTGTCACTCTCCAATGTTAGTTTTGCTGTACTTTTCAGTGAGTTCAGTGACCCCAAAGATGATCTTCCCTGTACCTTCACCTCCAAGTTCCTTAACCTTCTCTCCTTCACTGATCTCGCCTTCTATACAACCTCCACAACTCTCTCCCAATGGACACACCATAGACTATGTCACTAACAATAACTGAATCCCTCTATAACCCCAGTTTCAAATGTTTCCCTTTTCAACCACTTTCTATCCTTCCAACCACTCTCTAATGTTTTTGCTTCAACAATTCTTTGGTCCCTCTGGGATGTATACTTTATTGATCCTATCTAGTTTTCACAGTCCCTCAGCTACCTCATTTTAGCTCCTGGCTCATTTCCTGACTCTAGTCCTCATTTTCCTTTCTACTCAGTTTAAATGCCAACTCCACCATTAAAATGACTGCCCTACACAAGCCCTCAGCATCTTTGCCCTCCTTTTATCATCTTATTTAAAAAAACAAAAACCCACCTGAACTTGCACAGTTGAACATGGCTAGAAGAAAAACACATAACTATAGACATGGTCTCACTTCAAATTTAATCATACTGATCTTAAGTTGGTCCTTAATGCTGTCTTGTCACTGTGTGGCCTAGCCCTGGTCAATTCATTCTTCTTCTCTCCTGCACGTCTTCTCTCCATACTTCTAACACTTCCTTCTCGTCGTCACTAACAGCTGATGACTTTGCTTCTGATTCCCACTGAGAATATAGAAGCAATAGAAGAGAACTTTGACAAGATACCTCCCCCTCCACTACCCAATCAATCGCCCTGCTAGCCTCAAAGCCCATGTACTCTGCCTTCTTTCATGCACTCTCTTCTTGTGTGCGTCTCGTGTCCTCAAAAAATCATTCCAGATATTCTTCTCTCTCCTTCTGCATCATATTTTCTTCTCAAAAAGATTTCCCCATAAGTGCATAAATATGTGGTCATCTTGCATGTGCAAAAGCTACCTCTCTGATCCCCCTTGTCAGCTCAGTGCCACTCCATTTATCTGCTTTTCTTTATAGCAATCATCATCCAAAAGAGTAGCCTTCAGCTTGTCTCTTTGCATTCTCCCAGAGACCATTCCAATTATGCTTTAAACTCTACCATTCCACCAAAACAGACCTTGTAAAAGTCATTAATGACCTCCATGTTGCTGAACTTAATGGCCAATTCTTGGTCCTCATCTTGCTTGATGTATGAGTAGCACCTGACGGATTAGTCACTCCATCTTCCTTGAAATGCTCATCTGGATTACAGGACTCCATTTTCTTCTAATTGGTCTCCTGCTGCTCTGCTTGCTTTATTTTCACCTTTCTTTGGCTCCTCCTCAGTTTCTCAATTTCTTAATGTTGGATTTCCTAGGTCTTAGACCATGTGCCTCTGTTTTCTATTCTGTCTATACGCACACCCGTAGTGCTGTCATCCAGGAGCCAGGCTTAAACAGCATCTACTTGCTGATGACTCCCAAGTTAATATATCTAGCTCCCCTTTCTAAACTCGAGTCATATGTCTATTTGCATACTTGACAATTTTTATTGCAGGCCTAATCGATATCTCAAACTTAGTATGTCCCAAATCAATCTCCTAATCTACCTAAATTTTTCTCTCATTCTGCTACCTCATTTACTCGTACTTCATCCTTTCTGCTGCTCAGGCAAAAAATCCTTAGAGTCATCTTTGACTTTTCTCTTTTCTGTCATCTTCCACATAGAACCCAACAGAAAATCTTCCGGATTTTACCTTAAAAACATAGCCACAATTTGACCACTCCTCACTACCTCCTCAGTTACCATTCTGGTCTAGACTTAGGTCACAGAACAGCTCTGATTTGTGTTGAATGGCCAGAATGCCAAGGCTGCCTGTTCCTGGGCCTGAGGGATAACTGGAGGCCTCAAGCCTCCCCAGGTTTCACAGTCAGATTCCACGACTTTATGCTGTTAGAATTGCCATCTCTATTTAACCCTCTTTAAATATTGACTGGGAGGAGTAACAATTTTTATTTATTAATGCATATTAATGTATGTGTGATTGTGTGTATCTCACTTTGCCCCCCCACATATTTAAGGCAGATTGTAAAAGTATATAAAATGCATAATAATATAGAAAAGTGAGGAAATTAGGCAAAGGGAAAACAAGGATAGATAGAAAAAATTCAGGTGAATTGAGGGAGTGGTGAACTGAACCTATAAAATGCATGCCATGCAGTCCTTCATACTTGCTAAATGGGAGTGACACGAGTCCCTTTCTCTGAGGTGTTCCTTAGCATTAGGTTGCCTTATGCTCGATGGGCCCCTGTAAGGAACCATGAACATGGTGGCTCCCTGGGAGAGGGTCATGATGGGAAGAGAAAGGCTAAAAGGAGAAGTGGGGCAATACTGGCCAGGAAGCCTCCTCCTCACCTGAGACCAGGTCCTGGCCTGGACCACAATCATTCCCTGGTGCCCTCCCCAGTCTCCCACCTTCCAGCCCACCCCAACGCCACACCCTCAGTACTTACCAAGACCCAAGCAAGAAACTCTGAGTCCTGATTTTCCAAGATTCCTATAATAAAAACAAAGCAACACTTGGTCATCATTTCCTCAGGTGAAACTGTACATGCTTAAGTGAATATCGTATCTCCCTTTTGGCATGATTCTTGACGAGTCCTGGTAGAGACAGAGCCACAGATGCAGGCATATTGTCTTGAGACAAGTCTCCCTTGCATGGCCACTCAGGCACCAGGAAGCTCAAAATCTTTTCAGGCGCAGCACAGAACAAAATGTCCCTCACAGAACACAGCTTCTCAGTCCCATATTGTCTTCTTTATTAACTTGTTTACCCATTTATTGGCTTTCTCTCTCTTTCTAGAATGGGAGTTTCTTGAGGGTAAACTTTTTTACCTTATTCACCAACCGTTCATTCATTATTTGTCAACTGACCACTTCTCACTCCTTCCTCCGTTACCATCCTGGTCTAGATAGTTCTGATTTGTGTTGAATGGCCTGACACACAGTGAGCCTTAATAAATATTTTTGACTTATTGACTAACAAACTGACTTCTAAAACAGAATATTGCTTCTAATGGATGTGAATTATTAAAATAACAAATACAAAACTATCTTTTAGGTTATTTTAACTATATCCTATATTTAATATAATATACATATTTAACTCTCTCTATATGTGTGTGTGTGTGTGTGTGTGTGTGTGTGTGTATATGTATATTAAACTCAAGATTACGTAAAATTACCATGGGAACATCAGATAGTTCTTTATCCCCAAAAGTTTAAGGAAAAGAAATATATTTTTGCTTTCCAAATAAGGATAGAACTAGGAGCTCTAGTATGCATTTGCCTATAAGTCTTTGTGGAAATCCAGACTCAACCCATTTTTCCGTATTCTGACTAGCAGCTGTTAGAGAAGAAAACAAATTCTCAGAGACAGGGTGCCTCATAGCATTAGTGTAAGGATCCAAAGTGAGCAGGTGGAGCTGAAATAACTGTAACGCTGTAGAAAAGTGCACCCTTATTCTCCGATAAGAGGCTCTCATAAAAATACACTTTCCCTTCTTGCTCCCACACCAAAGGAAACAACACAAATAAAACTTCTAAATCGGTGGCACAGCTGAACTACTCCGAGTTCTCCCTTGATTTGTCATCAGTTTTGGTTTATTTAGACTTAGCAATTAGTACTCCCATTTTGGCATCACAAGTTTTTCCACTGCTTATTAATGTTTTCTGTAAAATGCCACCTAAGCAACACATTCAACTGCACAACATAATAAAAACTGCATAAAAATGCAAGGAGTTGAAAGACCCGGGCTTTTGACCCATTGCCACAGCTAGTTGAGTGACCTTGTGGAAACTGCTCCCTTTTCTTTCTGGGGTTCAGTTTCTTCATTCGGAAGATGTAGTGTTGATGTCTATGACATTTTCCTAGCATCACTGTTTGCAGGGCCAGAGCGTGAGAATGTGTGCTAAAGTGTTACACTGTAAACAAATGCAAGGCATAGTGATTTCTGGTGCTTTCTGACTCCTACCCTCCAACAGACATGGTGCTCAATTTTCCCATATGAATTGGACATGTCCAGCTGGAAGAAAACCGTTGCATAAAGAGGCATGTGGAAAATATTTTGAACAACTAAATAGGAGAAAAATAATTGGATTGCTCCAGTGAAAACACTTTATGTAAGAAATTGTTCATTTAGTAGTTTTTCAGAAATCAATAGATGTACAGACAAAAGACTTTTCTTGGTAGTCTAAAAGTCTACTGATTTTAAAGGGGTGGAATCTAGAGCAAATGCTATATTGTAGGGAGAATTTTTTTAAAAAGTCATGGAGATACAGAGAAGAACAAGGCATGGTCCTCTACCCTCAAGGAGCCTAGAATCCAGTGAGGGACACAGAAAAACAAACATGTAATTCCAGTAACATCAGATACATCCTACCATGGAGATCTTTGGGAACACGTGAGGTGGTGGCTCCCTCGGGCTTATATTTGCATAACTTTGTGGGTATCATGGAGAAAAGGATCTAGATAAGGGTTTTCATGTATTTTTAATGTCTTTCAGTAGGGAGAAGTGACTTGCAGAAAACTCTACAGAGCAAGACAGTTCTAAGGCTAAGTCTCTATAGTTCAGAGATTTTTCTAACAAACTCAAATAAGGCAAAGTTATATCACTGGGTACTTAGCAACATTTCGCATCCAAAATGGGGAGACTTGTCCTATTTTCCTTATGGCAGCAACTTAAGATAATGATCACTCTGTTATGGGTTTTGAAGACCAAACTTGAGAACTGTCAGCAAAAACAAACTGCAAACTAGCAAGTACTAATGGCCCATTTTCTTGCCACTGCTATTTAAACGCCCAGGATGGCCTTTCTGGAAAGAAAGTTTTACAAGATTTTAAATGTAAGAAAAATTCAATTACAGACTAATACTGCTATAGCGGTGATAGGTACCCACTTTGAGACTTGCTCTTTTTGTTTCCCGTAACTCTTTAATACTTTTAATGCTTTTTCTAAATACCCTCATCCTCTAGAGAGAACAGTTATGAAATTCAGGTGGTCACTTTTAAAGTGAGAGGCATTTTCTCTGCATGAGATATATCTGGGTCTATATGTTCATTGCCCTAACTTTGTCCAGATGTAAGTCTCTTTGTGAGGTGTGTACCACTTAAGACACTCCCAACACAGGACGGTGCCACTCACTTTGCACCTGGAGAAGGTAGGAGGAACTAGCTAACTCCAATTCAGAGCATGAAATCCCAACACGATTTCTGCTATTCCAAATGGCACATCTGCATCCTCCTGTCTCTATCCATCTTTGTGCAGTACTAAGTGAAGATGTAGCTATTCTCCAGTTACTCTAAGCCACTTAAAATCTGCTGTATAATAGAAACCCAATACTTGACACATTTGATCTCATGAGTTCAGTAGCTTGTGTGGCTTTAACATCAAATAATGGCCAAGTTTGCTAATCATGCTGGGCTATAACACATACCCTGGAACCTTCATCTCACTCATGCAGAATTTTCACAAATACCTCATAATCTTATGTGACATTGTGTAAAAAACCAACTTTATATAATATTATTCTATTTCTTAATTCCTTAGCGTTCCCATAAGTGAGGCTACATAAAAATTCTGTAAGCATATCAAATTGCCAATTAGAATGAATTATTTTTCCATTTGATTCAAAATTGTTTCACTGCACAGGTTTAACTATTTTATCTGTGTCAGATATACCAGAAACAAGGCTCACCATGTTCATTTTTAGTATCTGCTCCTGTTCGACTCAAAATAAAGGCTCCTTTTTCTCAGGTGAACCTGAACTGCTCTGCTGCTAATATTAGAAACAAATGACATCAATGTGGAGGCACAGAACACTGAGTTTTGTCAGTCAAATTTCGGAAATCCTAAAGCATCAGTAAAGAGTTATCTGGAGAAGGGATATAGCTTCTTGAGACCTCAAAGGTTGTGATTCCCCTTTCTTTCTGAAGGCAGACTCGCCACTCAGTGAACACATGGCTGACCTTATTTCAGGACAATAATTTGTTCCATGGCAGAGGCATTGAATGTAATTCCTAGCCTCATTTTATGGAGCATCCACCGGGCTTTTTTTGCTTTTAAGGCAATACTGGAGTAGTGAGAACTGAAATCAAGCATCACTTAGGCTCAGTATTGCAGGCCACTCTGATGCTCACAGTTTCTTTACAAGTCAAAGAGGTTTAAAGCAGATTAGTAACCCAAATTTTTTTGTTTCAAATGGCTTGTTTCTCGCTGTATGTATCTTAGACCTTATTCACAGTTTTAAACGGCTGGGAAAAGTAGCTTGCAAAAATATGTGCCTTACATTTGACCAAGCAAGAAGCATATGCATGGGGCAAAATCCCCGATTTAAAGGTTGACGTAACAGGGACAGCTGGAAAGCATATGCAAGGGGCTCCAGCAGCTGTGTCAGGCTGGCAGAAACAAGCTGGGTTTGACCTGGTTTTCATGTGGTCAGAGAATTACATCATTTGCTGTCTCACTCTATTTGAACATCTTTCTGATCCTTCTAAATCATACTCTGCCTTACCTGGAAGTTACTAATCAAATATGAGATTTGGGTTTTTTGGTATGCACATTTAATAATGTACATGAGCAGAAATCATGTTCATTTGCCAGCCAGCTGGTTTTGATAGTTACAAGGTAACATACATTTTGACAGCCATGAAGGTGGCTACAAATAGTAGTAACATTTTCTTATGAGAGCTCTGTTCATCATTGTTGGTAAGTAAATAATGACTCATTTGGGACTCACCAGGCATATAAATGATTTAGCTGGGCATTTTGAGGACAGACATTAACAGGTGGCACAATGAAACTTTTATTCTTACCTTTTTAAAAATAGCAACAAAGTAGAATAGGATTCTTCCAGATTCTTTGATTTAAAATTTTAAGTCATTTGTCAATTGTAAATTCCAACTAGGTCCTTATTCATTTTCTTTGGTCATATAAAACACCTGATGATCTATATCTTTCTAGAAAAGTCTAGAGAAGTATGGAAAAAAGAGACTTTCCTATAATTAATTAATTAGGTCAAAGGAGATGTACCAAATTTTACCTACGTACCAGGCCTCAGACTAGGCTGTGAGCCTGGGCTGAGTGGCGGATAGTTGCTGCTCTTATGGAGCTTATGTCATAGGAGGGCAGACAGATATTAAATAGATTAATTATTTGATTATAATATGAAATAAAAGGACAGTAGGCCCTAAATACAAAATTAGGACCCTGAGAAAGCTGACCTAATATGGGTAGTTAGGAAAAGCTTCTCTAGGGAAGTAATATTTAAACTGAGATCCAAAGGAAGAGTAGGAAGAAACTTAGTGAAGAGAGGAGGGATCCGCATTTCAAACAGAGTGAACAGCATGTGCAAAGGCTCAGAGACTGGAAGAAGCATGGGTAATTGAAGAACTGAAATACGTTCCAGGCAATAGAGAAGGGGAGAACAAATGGTTGAGTGGTTCTACATGAGTCTGATAGGGTGGCAGGAGCCAGATCAAACAGTGCCTTAAACATTATGTTGCAGATTTTGACCCTTAATATGGAGTAATGGAAGACATTAGCAGGGAAAATGGGTTGAAGGGAGGTAAGAAGGGAAGCTAGAAGGCTGCTTAGTTAATCCTAATGAGAAATGGTGCTACCTTGAAATCGGATTTAGTGGAGTAGGGAGGATGGGGAAGATTCCAGATATCCCCAGCAGGTAAAATCTATAGGACTTAGTATTTTGATTGAATATGAGAGTGAAAAAAGAAGGAATAATGGGCCATTCTCGTTTCTGATTTGGCCAGCTGGGTGAAGACGGGTGCTTTTCACTGAAGTAGAGTGTTCACTGGGGACATTGGGGAAACAAGGGTTTTGATTCTTTGGGCAATCTCGTGGGGACTGAACATCCATGAGACATCCAAGGTTAATTGCCTAGATCTCAGAGTAGGGAGAGGGATTTTCTGAGTATCCAGGGTAACAGGCACCATGGGCTGGGTCAGCTGCCTAGGGAACCGATGTTCTGTTAGAGAAGAGGGCCCAGGATGGGGCCTTGAGGAGCTCCAGCACTATGGGTGATGGAGAGGAAGCTGCATCGGCAAAGAAAACTGAGAAGGAGCAGCAAAGGTGTAGGGGGAGACCAGGAAAGTGTCTGTGGAGAAGCCAAAGCAGGGGATGGTCTCTGCAGGGAGTGAGTGGGCAGCAGTGTTGAAGGCTGCGGTGAGATAGAGCACAGTGAGTGGGGTGGAGAAATTCCCTTCATGTTCAGCTTTGTGGGGATTGCTGTTGACTCTGTGGCAGCCATTTTAGTTGTGTCATGGATGGGAAGCCGGGCTGAGTGGGCCAAGGAGAGGAAAGGTGTAGAAATGCTGTTCACCAGATGTGTGTGACCTTGGGCAGGTTGCTTGGCTTTTTAAAGTCTCTTTCCTCATTCATAAGTGGAGGTAATCATAGCACACTACTTTTGTTGACAGTTAAGTGAGACAATATAAATGCAGTACCAGTCCTAGCATATTTCAGTGTTCAATTAGTGCTAGTTGCTTTCTGCTTTCTTATTTCTTAGGAAAAGCTCTATTTTAAACACTGAATCTGGTTCTGGTATGGGTACAAAATCTGGTAGGAGGCTGCCTCTGTGATTTTCAAGACCCACTTCCCTGACCTAATGATCCTCTCAGTTGCCCTAATGATCTTCCAGCCTAGATGGATTTGTGCTTAGACATTACAGATAGCCTGAATCTATTATATGTGAATTGTAAGTTATTTTGCTAGAAAAAGTGGGAATTAGAAAAAGTGGGAATGAGAGGACGAAGATAGATAAAAGAGGCAAGGAAGAAGGTGGCACTCTGGAGAAATGATAGAGGTCTGAGGCGTTTAGAACTGTTTCTATGATCACCAGAGCAGGGAAAATGAAGCTGTGACATAAAGTTGTGTGGATATAACCATACAAACTTTAGTGTTCTGTGGAGGTGGGCTTGAGAAGTGCCCACTCATGTCTACTTAGCCCTTAAATAAGAGCTACTCATTGCTTTTCCTGTCTCAAGCATCTAAGGCAGCAGAAAAGCTAGACATCAGTAACTCAAAAAGTCTTAAATCAGAAGAATCTGGAACGTCTCTCTCGAGGGCGTATGATTTGGGGATACGTAAAGTTAAATAGGAAAAATACATCTTTATTTTTCACCACGTTTTAACTGAAAGTTAGCATATCCTTCCATTCTCAGTGTAGGCAAGAAACCCTGTAAGTCCTCATGTTACTGCTTGTGACTTTGACACCATCAAAAACTACAGGTATTTTTGTATCACTTCAAAGTTTCTTTGGAGACATCAAAAAATCATTTACTCTCACCATTTACACTCATTACCACTTGCAAATTGTGGTATTTGACCCACACCTAGAACTTGTTAATACATTAATAAAGAAGCGCATGTATTACTAGGTCACAGATTTGGTTTTTACATATTTTGAACTACAAATTAACTGGAATCCTGTGTATTTTATGTAATGTTATTTAAAAGCTCTTACCACAAAATGAAGGGAAAGCCTTCTCTGGCATTCACTTAGTGATGAGAGCTGTAATTAGTTTTTACTGTAATGAGTTTTCAAAGGCAAAATAAAACAAAAAAAAATCTGAGGTAGGAGTTCTATGCCTTTTATCTTTCTTATTCCATTTGCTGTGGGTGAATATCTCACTTTCTCTTTAGAAAGCAAAGTCAGCAATGCAGCAGAGACGGAGGAATGAGCCTGACTGAGGAGGAGGGTGATATTTAAATATACACTTAATCAAAAGTAAATGCTTTCAGCCATAATGCATTAGTCTGCCTTTCATTTTCCTTGACAGAGGAACAGAAAATTAATGCCTGTTTCTCTAAGTGCCATGTCTTTCACATCTGCGTCGGAGTGCCATCTATCACAGTGAATCTTATGCTTATTGTGTACGAGATTATTTCCCCTTCCAGACTGAGATCCATGAGGCCAGGATTGTGTCTAAGGTGTCTGCATATTCCTACCACCTAGCACAGTGCTGGGTGCATAACAGGCGCAGTGATGCCCACAGTGGGTGCTGTAATGCTATCGCTTCGCTGTGGATAAAGACAGTATTGTTACTCACTTGTGACTTTCTTTTTGGCCAGGGAGGCTCTGTGGTTTGCCAGAAGACATGGGGCAGTTGAGTGAAATGCAGTATAGTGCGGCAGTGCCTCTATCACTTACTATCAGCAAAGCCTTGGGAAATATATGGAACCTCTCTGTGTCCCATCTGTTACATGGGGATAATAATAGAAACTACTTCATAGGGTTGTTGTGAGGATTCAATGTAAGGGTTGCAGCATTTAAGATAGTGCTTGGCACATGGTAAATGCTCTGTCAGTGCAAGCTGTTATTAGACAAACACAGGATGAATCCAAGCTCTGCTCCTGGTACTTTGGGGCAACTCATTTCACCTTATTTCAGGAGACAGATTCCTGCCTCCATAAGTGAGTTTCGAACCCCGCTTTGAGTGGAGGAACATAGTAAACATTGTGGCCTTTCTTTTAACTAGCATAGGTGTTAGGACTTCTTCTTTTAATTTTACAAGAGGCTGGAGCTCGTGAACCTGTTTAGCAGGTCCTATCCCCACTCAGACCCTTCTTGTCCTTCTACTTCTCCAGTTAACTGTGGTCACTATTCCAATGGAAGGGCCAAGTCCCAGGTCCCAAGTGTTTGCAACCTTAGAGTTTGGGGCTGGGGTGAAAGGGGGAATCCTGACCATGCTCTACGCCTATGTTCAGCCTTGACTCTACTTTTTAGTTCTAGTAACTCCAGGACTTTACACCACCTGCTGGTCACCTCATCTGAATCTTCAGTGCATATTTCAAATTCAGAACATCAGTCTGTGGATCAGCCTCCACCCAAACAATGAAGCTCAAACCTGCATATTTTGTCTTCTTCCTCTCCCTTGGCCTCTACAGCCAGTCAGCAAATCCTGAAGAGCCAGCAAATCCAGAAGAGCCAGCTTCCTCCAGCACCACCCTGACTTCTTCACAGTCACTACCAGGTCAGACTCTCGTGACAGATAGCTCCTGGCCTGCTCTTCTGCCTCTAGATTCAATCTTGTTCTCTCTCTCTGTTTATCTCTGATCAGCTTTACCACTTTCTTTTTATATAGCTACTATTATTCGTGCCCTGTTACCTTTCCTCAATTGCAAAGTACTCAGTTGTAGACTCCAAGCCTGATTTATATTTGTCTTCCTCATAATACTTAGTACCATGGAAGTGCGACTCAATACTTCAGTGACTAAAGGAATGATCCAATAACAAAGTCTGAGGAGCCTTTCTTACCTCTCTGATGTGGAGCTCACAGTTAGATATTATTTTATTCTTCATTCTTTTATGTTTAGATTGACTATTACAATTCAGTTGTCTTATTCACTGTCATAGTAAAATAAGGCAAGAAAGAAGGCATCCATATTTTAAAAAAGGAAATAAAACTGTCTCTCATCAAAGACATGATTGTCTATGTAGAAAAAAATCCCGAAGAATCTACAAAAATCTCCTAGAACTAATAACCAATTTAGCAAGTTTTTGAGATATAAGATCAAGATATAAAAGTCAATCATATTCCTAGGAATAAATTACCAATTGGAATTCAAAATTTAAAAGAGTAATACTATTTATAATAGCACCCTCAAAATGAAATATTTGTTTATAAATTTATTAAAATATGAGTAGTCTCCGTATACTAAAAACTAAAAAACATTGAAGAAAGAAATGAAAAAGAACCTAACTAAATAGAAAGGCATATCATTTTCATGGACTGCATGATGCAACATGGCTAAGATGTTAATTCCCCTCAATTTGACCAAAGGACTAAATATTATCCCAATTTATATCCTAGCAAAATGCTCTGTAGACAGCAACAACATGATTAAAAATATATATGATAAGATAAAAGAACTCAGATATTCAAAACAATGTGAAAAAGAATAAAATTGGAGGACTCATACTATCTGATTTCGAGATTTAATATAAAGCTACAGTAATCAAGGCAGTGTGGCATATGTTAAAAAGAGTGAAGCACATATAAATGAAACAGAATAGACAGTAAGTGGAACAGAATAGACAGGTCAGAAATAGCGTCACATAAGTACAATTAACTAATTTTTGACAAAGATGCAAAGGTAATTAAATGGAGAAAGGATCGTTTATTCAACAAATGGTGATGGGGCAAATGAAATAATTGTTCATACGTAAAAACATTGAACCTGGACACAAACCTCACATCTTATACAAATATTAATGAAAAGTGGATCATAGATCTAAATGTAAAATATGAAACCATAAAACTTCTAGAAAAAATGGGAGAAAATATGTGTGACTTTGGTCTTGACAAAGTTTTTAGATATGGCATAAAAAAGATGATCCATTAAAAAATTAAAAATTGGACTTTATAAAAATTTAAGACTTTTGTTCTGAGAAAGATACTATTAAGAGAATGACAAAACAAGTTACGTGCTGAAAGAAAATATCTGCAAAAATCCATTTAAAAATGGCCAAAGTACTGAACAGATACTTTACCAAAGAAGATATTTGATGGCAAATAAGCATATGAAAAAAAGTGCTCAACACCATTAGGAAAATATAAATTAAAACCATAATCAGATATGACTATATACTTGTTAGAAAGTGTAAGATAATAAACAAACACACAATACTAAGTACTGGCAAAGATACAGAGCAAATGGGATCTCATACATTGCTAGTTGATATGCAAAATAGTACAGCCCACTTTAAAAAACAGTTTAAAGGTTTCTTACAAAGTTCAACAATCTATACCATGGGACTCGGCTATTTCATTCCTAAATATTTACCAAAGTGAATTAAAAACTTACATTCACACACAAAAAAACTGCATATAAATATTTATAGCAGTTTTATTCACAAACACCAGAGGTTGAAAGTCCCCCAGATGTCTGCCAACGGATGAATGGATTAACAAATTTGGGTACATTCATACAAAGGAATACTACTCGGCAATAAAAGAATTAAAGACATTTTGCTAAGCGAAGGACACCAAATTCAAAAGGCTACAATATTGTATGATTCCACTTACATGACATTCTAGAAAAGACAAACTACAGGGACAGAAAGCAGGTGTGTAGTTACCAGGATTTGGAGGTGAGGAGAGCTTGACTACAAAGTGGCAGCATGAGGGAATTTGAGAGATTATGGAACTGCTCTGAATGGGTAATAGCCTGACTTTGTGCACTTATTAAACCATACAACTGTAGAAACACAAAAAGTGAATTTCACTCTATGCAAATTAAAAAATATCTACCAGAATGTTGGAGGGACCCAAGTGAAATACAGACTGTGAGAAATGAATTTAACTGTATTACAGATTAATGGCATACCACACTGTAGGAGACAGGAGCAAAGGCCTGACAAATAATTTTGGAAAACAGTCTTTTGACTGGATATTGTAAAGCTAAGAACAACAATAACAAAAAAACTATACACAAACACGGTACTCTACCTGGCAAATTTGTTTTTCACAGGGTTATGAGTTAACAATTCTGAAACTATAGTTGAATACTAGGGTTGACAAATAAAAAATGTAGTAAGGAAGCCTTGAAGAGTAGACCCAAAAACTAAATAAAAGCAGAAGAAAACTGAAGATCTCTTGAAGCCAACATCCTTTCATTATTTAATTTCATTTTATCTACAAACGTTCTCACATTGCCAGAACATTGGTTTTGGTTTGTTTCTGGTTTTTGTTCGTTTTCTTTTCTAATCCAGCACATGCTTACTCAGTAGCTACTAAGATGCATCAAAAGCTAGTAAATGACTTTGAAGTTAATGATGCTCTTTCTCTCCAGAAGAATAACATTGAATACAGTTGGCCCATGGCTACTTTGAGCCATTATAAGTGACTAATGCTTGGTCAGGCTAGTTCTGGTTTTAGTTTATCTTTATTCTTGAAACTCTACTTTGATCTTTTTATTATTCTTCATTTTTTGGTTTGTTGTGTCTCAAAAGTGAAGGTATTGTATGTATCTCATTGCGCAGTGACCAGCAGCAAAGTGGTATCTGACTAGAGTGCCAGGCATTGTGCCTTCTCATGATGACTAGGAAATACCTGCAACAAGCAGTGGGCATTGCCCTTCTAAATGCAGAGGTCCTTTGGTGCGAATCCTGATTTTATTTGATATAAAAGGAAAGCTCCTTCCCATAAACACATGAAAGGGAGGAAAGGTGAAAAGATTGTCCTCTCATGATACAGTAAGGCACCAGATGAATATATTCATTAGGGCCTTAAGATAAAACCTAATTGAAGTTCTCTTGAAAATGAAATCAAAGCTACCCCTCCTTGGGCCAGGGTGAATTTTTACTACTGCAAATACGTTTTTTAATTGACTTCAGCATTTTTAATTAATCACTGCATGGCAACTATAGAATCCTATGAAATAAACTTACTTTATGCATTTGTGAATTAACCCATCCCAGAAAATTAAAGTAATTAATTCCATTTGGTTAAAATCACTACTGATACTTTATTCAAGTTGAATGACTTGACTGGTTCTAGGCAAGATTTAGATGACAGAATTTCATAGGCTAAAGCCCAATATTGATGGCAGAGTAGCTGGTGCTCTGAGAATTCTTTGGTTTGGCCCTAAAGAAGTCAATTTTCAACTTTAGTATCACCATATAATGAGAGTGAAAATCATTATGTAAAGTAGGTGCTTTCTACACTGCGGCTGGTTATGTTAGTCACAACTCCAATTACACCTAATTTTTGGACAGTATAATGCCAAACTGAACAACTGAGTAAAGCTTTGTATCTACTTTGAATCCATTAATTAGAATGTTTAGCATCTATAAGCACATGTCTCTGACTTTTGAAATGGAAAAGTACAACCTATTATAATATGTTTTTTCTTATTCACTTAATGGGTGAACATAAATACATTCGTTATTTTGCCTATACCTGAACTCAGGTTCTTTTTTTTTTTTTTTTTTAATGGAGATGGAGTCTCACTCTGTCACCCAGGCCACAGTGCAGTGGCACCATCTTGGCTCACTGCAATCTCTGTCTCCCAGGTTCAAGTGATTCTCCTGCCTCAGCCTCCTGAGTAGCTGGGATTACAGGTGTGCCCCACCACACCTGGCTAATTTTTGTATTTTTAATCGAAAAGGGGTTTTGCCATGTTGGCCGGGTTGGTCTCGAACTCATGACCTCAAGTGATCCACCCACCTTGGCCTCCCAAAATGCTGGGATTACAGGCATGAGCCACTGCACCCTCTAGGTGCTTTTACACACCATCCATACACAGAAGCACAGGCAACCATTCTGAGTAGGCACTCTTGTGCCACGAGAGAGAAGGAGGTTGTGAGAGGTAAGGTAATGGGCCAGGGTCCCGCACATCCAGAAGGTTGCAGAGAGGGGCAAGGAGTATGGTGTGATATTGAAGTGTGTGATCTTCCTCTGCCCCTTGCTGCCTTCACATGATCTGTCCATCTGAAGTGACCTGATTCTTAGCTATTCCCTAGAGAAACAAGTAGGCCTCGAAGGGCCCTGAGAACTGGAATAGGGTCCCTGCTGAGTTTGGCCATTTTTGGAGGCCTAGAGAAGGAGAAAAATAAAAGTTTCTGCTGCCTGAGCTAGTTCATGCACACCCCCTCCCAGCGCCTTCCTGTTTGTTCCATGTCCCCCCGTCCCACTGCACCCCCTCCCCTGTCACTTTCCACAGTCTCTCTCTGATTGACGCCACGGCAGTGGTGGGAGTTGGTGAACTGTCACTCATCTCAGTCAGAAACAACAGAGTAAGAAAATAGAGCAGGAGGAAATTAACAACTCACATTGGTTCAAAATTTATCAGAACTTATTTCATCCTGTTTTGCAGTTTTGAAAAGATGAGAAAATGAAGTTATTTGTGTGCTCTGCTGATTGCAGACAGGAAGAGCAATGTGGCTGGAAGAGATCATGTTCACAGCTTGTGGGGCGTGGGGTTAAGTGCTTGAGAAGGGGAATGGAAAGGAACACTAGGAAGAACTGAGGTGACATTGCCTAAAAAGGCTAAATCAATAGTGACTTTCAGCACAATTCAATGAACACACTGGAGCTGCTATGAGCAAGGAGCTAAGGACATAAACTTTAATAGACCATATATCAAAGGTGGATTATTCATTCATGCAATTCATATTTATTGAGTACTGTTCTAGGTGCTAAGGTTATAGCAGTGAACAAAACAGGCCAGGTTCCTGACTCATGAGGCTTACATCCTAGTGGGGGAGACCTATGGTAAACAAGTAAACAAAGAAATAACTTCAATGAATGATAGGTGCTATGAAAGCTTAAATGCAGGAGAAAGGCAAAGAAAAGGTGGTCAGAAACAGCTTCACAGAGGAGGTGCATTTGAGCGGGGACCTGGAGGAAGGGACAGAACCAGACTTGGAAATACCCTGGGGAAGAGAATTTCAGGCAGAGAGACAACATGACCCTGAGGTAGGGACAAGGTTGAGGAGCAGAAAGCAGGTGAGTCTGGTGGAGTTTGGTGTGTGAGGGGACAGCAGGACTAGATGAGATTAGAGAGACAGAGAGAAGGCAGGTTGCTAGCGACCAGCTTAACCCCTCTCAGTCAGGACAGAGTAGATAGAAAAGATCCAAAAGCTGCTACAGACTCTGTGAAGAGTGAATAAAATGGAATTGTAAAACAGACAAGGGATCAACCTTTGCTGGAGGACTTTTAGAAGAGCACTGATACTCTGTGGATTAGGTTAGGTAACCTTCACTTGGAGCCAGGTCACACTCCCATACTGGTGAGGGTTTTCGGGTTTGGAAAATAGGCATCGCCTTGTTGTACAACTCTATGTGCCTAAACTCCCTTTCCCTATGGAATACTTCAGTGATCTTGTCTCAGGCTCCCTACTTCCTGTCTGTACTCCTTTCCTTTTTAATGGTATTCTCTCCTGCCCCTTTGGTCCCAAGTACCTCCAGTTCTCAGGTTCTATCTCTTTTCTCTTCATCAGATTCTGCTGTGAGGAAAGTCAGAGTAACCAATTCTCACCAAAATGTAAGTGACCAACATGACAAGGTGCTGACTGGGGTGGGGAAAGAAAGACGAGACTGGCATTCCATCACTAGGATTCTCTGGATTAGGAAGAATGTGTCTTTGCATTTGCATCTGCTTGGAAAGGTTTTCTCACATGTTCTTACTCAAGATCCAGCTCCAAAATCCTCCTTTCCAAGGGGGCTTCCCTAGGAAGAGCTGGTGGCTTCTTCCACTGCTGTGCTCAGACCTCTCAGTTCTGCCCTTTTCATGGTTCTTTGTGTGTTGTCTGCAAATCTGTCTCTCCCACAAGCTTGAGTGCTTCTTGAGGATAGATTCCAGTCCCTAGTGTGATGCCAGGCCATGCAGACTGACTGACCAAGGAGCTGGGCAACGTCATAAGATCTGCATTTACTTTGACCATGATAGGCTATGGTTTTCACATTGAGAATTGAGGTAATACTTATTACAAGCCCCATTCCCCTCTACAGTCCTGTATTCACTATAAACTTCTATTTCTTCAATTTTATAAATATTGCTGTCTGAATTTATACCAATGTAAGATGCATTTGTTAACAAATTTCGTCTTTTAAAATGCAGATAATCCTAATAGAATTAAGCCTATTCATTTATACAACATGTATTGTGTATCTTCTACTCTATTCTCTACACTGTCCCATCACTCACACCAAGACACTAATGGGCTTACAAAAAACTGCTCTTTTCTTCCATATATTGAATCAAGAGCTCCAAGTCGAGACTTGATAATTCTACTTTTAATAATCAATCTAAAAGAAAACTTCAGAAATGTGAAATTAGGTTTATGTACAAAAAATGGATCATAGTAGTTATTTATAAGGTTGAAAGGAAGAAAACTATTCAATAGGAGACTCAAATTGTTTTATCAGTAAGATGTATTACTATTTGAAATTACATTTAAAAGAGCATTTTATTAAAACAAGAAAATGCTTGCATTACCATGTTAAATGAAAAAAAGCAAGATAAAAATTTGGTTTCAGTATGATCTTTAAAAACGCATAGATAAAAAAGCCTAAAAATAGTCACTAAAAATATAAATAGTGGTGGTCATACTAGGTGGTAAAATAGTGGTTGATTTTTAGTTCTTACATATTGATATTTTCTAAACTTTTTGTTCTGAGCACATATTGCTTTTATGATGAGAAAACGGAAGTTACTATACTGAGAAAATAGAACCACCTCCTCTTAGTTGCTAAGGTCAGCTATACAAAGGGAATGGGATGAGAGGGGACAGGACCACTTTATGGGTAAGACGAACCCTTGTGAAGATGGACACAGAGGGTTGGGCTGGCAGTCTGAGGGCTCTGGTCCCTGCGGTAATAACCAGAAAGACTGGATAGCAGGAGGTGGGAAGGCATAGAAGACATGTTTTGGAATGGCTTCATCTTGCCTAGGCTGAGCCTAAGATGGGACTGTGACTTCTCTGGGTTTGGACAAATGAAACAAGGCTCTTTTCCAAGACTGACTGCATGGCTCAGCAGGAGCCCCTCACTGGGCCTGCTTTTTACAGGTAGAGGGAGCTTCTAACCTCAGCAGGGTTCATATTTCTTTTGCCATTTTTTTAAGTTAAGTCTCAGTTAGAGGACTTTATCACCATCTAGCAATGTTAACTTGCCATTCATTACTAGGTGCTAAGCCTTCTAGGCTTGCCTAAAGTTTATAACTGAGCTCTCTTGAGCTTTGCTCCTGAATCTTAAGTACATCTCTTTTATAGCTGATACCTTCCTTCTTTTCATTTTCCCAAAACAGATACATGCAGCGTCAAAGCCATCAAGTTGTTTTGCATGAAGTAATTTCTGGACACTTTCCTTCTGCTTCTTCCTACTCCCAGAAAAGATTTTAAGTAAAACTGGAGAAAGGGAAGTAGAGTAATGGGAGGCTGGAATCAGCAGCAAGGACCTCTGGCTTTAGGGCTGGATTCCACCTGTCACTTGCACCAGGACGTACCAGGATACACTGGGATGCTGGGATAGTTGCTTAACTTCCCCAAGTCCCAGTGTCTTCATGGATAAAATGTGCATACATTTAATGCTTGCTTTAACCTATTTATTTCACAAAAAGTCGTTGTGAGATAAAGCATGTGAAAAGGTTTGCAGAGCTTTAGATTCTTTACTTACATTAGTTATTACCATGATAATAACTATTGGAATTAATAGTTTCAGAAGCTGCTGCATAAGCTGAAACAAGTTGGGGACAGACAATTCATCATTTGTGTGCTGTCAAGGGGAAGAATAGCCCTTGGTTCCATGGACTGATGGACAGACTTTGTAGTAAAATCAAGTTATTCACACTGTTAAGAACTCAGTTGAAACATTTTGTGTAGCCAGTTATGCAGTAAAGAAAAAAAACAGACTAAGAAATATTTTTAATAGAAGTGGAGACAAATGTTTTGTGAAAAAGAAAATTATTATTCAGTCATTGTGCTTTGAGACCTTCACTCAAATTCAGGCCAAAAAAAGATAGTAGGAAGTAATTTTGCTTTAAAATTGTCTTTAAACTCCAATATACACATGGTTTTTCAGGGGAAATCTCTTGCTACATCAACTATGCATGGTACTTAGGAAGAGCCATTATAATATAAAGCAAAGAATCCTAAATCTGGAAGTAGATAGGTGAATTTTGGTTCCATCTAACTGGAGGCCATGCACGTTGGTTAAGCCAGGTCAGGCTCTAGTTGCACCTGCACCTGTTGTTTGGTACACAACTATGCATGGGATCACCTCCTTTTTTTTTTTTTTTTAAATGGAGTCCGTCTCTGTTGCCCCGGCTGGAGTGCAATGGCGCCATCTCAGCTCACTGCAACCTCCACCGCCAGGGTTCAAGCAATTCTCCTGTCTCAGCCTCCTGAGTAGCTGGGATTACCGGTGTGCACCACTACGTCCGGCTAATATTTTTGTATTTTTAGTAGAGATGGGGTTTCATCATGTTGCTCAAGCTGATCTTGAACTCCTGGCCTCACGATCCGATCCGCCCACCTCGGCCTCCCAAATTGCTGGGATTACAGGTGTGAGCCACCATGCCTGGCCCCCCTTTTCTGTTTTAAAAAGTCTCCCATTTTGGATAATAAATTATATGCTCACCCTCATCAAATCTAATTAATAGCTATGTGTCCTTGAGCCTTACACCAGAAGAAAAATAGAACTCTCTTCTGCAGGAAAGAAGAGAAAAATAGGTCAGAAGTAATTGTCTGGGCTCACCCCTTCCCCCACCTGCCCACTATGGTTAAAACTCCCCAGAGGGTAAAGAAAGAATAGAAATAACCAGAGAAGTCTGTGGGAATCTCAGACTGAGTACTTCTTCCTCAGGTCCTTGGATGCCTGGAATAATTCCAAGCCCTGGATGGAAGCTCCCCACTAGCACGGCTTGACCAGAAGGGCAACACAGCATGGTGACCAGGCTTCACTCTGGCAGCCTGGAAGTTTCCTACACTTTCTCCCACTTCCCCACACCATTTTGGGAAAAAGGAAAGAGAGGTTCCTGATAGAGAGTTTTACCTTTTAAATCAGAAGAGATGGAATTAGCTTTGAATGAAATATTTTAAGTGCCTTCTCACCAGCCATCAGCAAGAAATCGATTTTTTTCCCCATATCTAAGTAGTAGAGGTAAATGTTATCCCATCTGTACTTATATCTTCAGAGCTCGGCATAGGGTCAGGAGCAGGTAAATCCTCAACAAATGTTTGTTGAATGAAGCTTCAAATCATAAAACGGACAATAAAACTCTAGACTATTTTAGTATAATTCTACCGAAATATTAAAACATTTCCTGAAATAATATTCACAGTTATAGTTACCATAATAGGAGGAGGAAAAAACCAACAAAGGAATTTAGAGAATAATCTTTGTTGACTACTGAGCCTTCAACAGTGATTAGTTTCCTTGTGGTATAATTACAAGTTGGTCTCATATATTAAAAGGATTTAGCCTTCCTTCATGGTGTTATACACAGGCTACTGCCAGAGGTAAGCTAATGTGGACTGTAGTCTCTATTGATCTTACTCAGATAAGGAAATCCCAGCATCCCAATCCTTATCAGATAAGCAAAACACATTTTGAATAATTACATATCATTGTCTCATCTGTTCTGCAAAAGGAGAAAGGAAACCACTAGATTTATCACTAAAATAGCAAGTGTTATAGGAATGTAGATTCAGTTATTGAGAACCTGTTTATTTAGCTCTGGGCAGTTTGATGATAATTACATTAAAATTCCCCAAGACATTTTCGATGAAAACGCTGGTAGGCCAAAAGTTATGTTTACAAAGACAGCTTATGTGAAGGTTGGGAATAGACCCATTTCTTTCTCTAAGTGAACAGAAGAATAGTCTTTAGACTAACTTGTAAATATACTGTTTCTATATTTAGAGATACTAGATTCTGATAGCACTTAATATTGGTCTCAAAGGATTATGAAACACTAAGATTGTTGCATTTCTTAATATGTTCCCACCCACAACACTTTTTCTTTACTTTTCTCTCTCTCTCTCTCTCTCTTTTTAATTATACTTTAAGTTCTAGGGTACATGTGCACAACGTGTGTAATGTTCCCCCGCCCTGTAACACTTTTTCTTTTCTTTTCTTTTCTTTTCTTTTTTTTTAAAGTCAAACCACAATTTGCTCCTCCAAACACTACTAACTAGTGTAAAAAAAAAAGTTGAAAATCTTTGGAGAGATTTTGACCTTTTCTCTTAATGCTGCCTTGCCAAGCAATAATTATTTTACAAATGTAGAGAAGAACATATTCTAGAATGATCTTTAAATTTAATTTGGCTCATTTTGGAGAAAGTACTTTGGAAAGTTGGCTGCAGGCCTTTGTTGCTGTTCTGAAAAAAGAGAAAAGGCAGATTTTATTGGGTAGCTGTAGCCTTGGTGTAGCAAACCATTAACTCAAGGGAAATCGAGTTCTAATTGTTAGACAAAGAGAATGAAAATCTAGACTCAGACCCTCATTTTGGCTTTTCCATGCACTAAATGAATGAACTTGGACATTGATGGGCCAGAACAGCCACATTTCAACACCAAGATCTATCTATTAGCTGAGGCATTCTTAACTTGAATTTCACTGCCTCTCTATAAAAATAGAAAGAAAAAACCTACAATTAAGACCAAGTTCAGTGATTCATTAAGTACACTTTCAATGTCAAGGACTGGTTCAATCATAGAGGATCAGATGCAGAACTGCTGGTGAAACCCAGCTTGCAGCTGGTTCATCTGGGACTTAAACAGTTTTCATATACACTTATGCATAAAGGGCCCAATATATATGGAGAGAAGAAGAGTTAGCAATGAAGGACACTTGTTTCTGTTTACATTCTATTTCAATTTGAGGCTTTCTGTGTATTTACCAAAAATCCATAATTTGATTAAAGATGTTTATAGAGAAGTGGTGACTAGGTCTGAGATCCCCCATGTCAAGATACCCGAGGATTGGGCCACCTGCAAACAAGAATTATATAAACCCCCCAAGAAGGAGATTTTCTCATTAGGAAACCTAAAAGTTCAATAAGTTCTCTTCTGTGCAGTCAGTCATGGATGATTTATTGAGTAGCCCTTGGGTATCACTGTGTCAGGTTCTAAGAGTATACAGGCAGAGAGGACAAGTAAATAAGCATCATTCTGTGACATGGTGAGTATATAACAGAGCTAAGTAGGGGGTAGGATGGGAGCAGAGAAGTGGGTGAGAAACTCTGCTTGATGGTATTTGAAAGAGGCTTCCCAGGAAGAAAGGATGTGAGCTAAGACCTGAGTAGAGAGAAGGTGTTCACTAGGAGAAAAAGTGGAGACAACGTCAGAAATAAATTTGAATAGACAGCCATATCTAAACAAGAAGGTACATTATATATACATTGTGGGGACCGTTGTACAGATGAACCAATGGGTCAGAGTAGAGCTAGGGATCCTGAAACAAAGCTAGAAAAATCTATTAGAACTAGAGTGATAAGGGCTTGAATGTCCTGTTTAATTTGAAATGTAATCTGTAGGTGATGGAAAGCTATCAGAGAATTTAAGCAAGGATAAAGTGTCATCCAATTTGCATTTCAGAAAGATACTGACAGCAGTGTGGAGGATGGATTGGAGGAGGCTGTGATTGGAAGAAGGGAGATTAGGAGGCGATTTCAGTCATCGAAAGAAAGAAGTATCAGAGTCTAAACTAGAGCAGCTGCCTTTGATTGACAAGGGCTCTTTCTTTCTAATGAACCTGAGGCACAGTGGTGGTTACCTTTGCAGGCTGCAGGGTTTTACAGGCTCTAAACACATTGCCTGTGCACTTAGCAAATTAAGGAATACCACTCCTGGAAATATCCTCAGGAAATTTAGACATTTTAAAGCATTAACATCAAACTTTTGTAATCTTTTCTTCTGCTTTCTATATCACTGACAGATATCTTACTTTCCCCCCTAGGAAGTGTTGAAAACAAATGAAAAGCTCACATTTGGAAATCACATGGAAAACTAATTGTGGATTCATCTCAACTCTCAGGTGTTTAGAACTGCGGCCACCATAAAGAGGACCCCCTTATGTGGAAGGCGTGCCAGGGGGTGGTATGGCCTCGGTGGGGTGTGCAGAAGAACTAACAATGCTGGTAACTGAACTAGACGGTGGTGGTCAAAAGCCCAAAGGAAGAGTTATGGTGGAGAAGGTGGTGCAGTAATTTTTACTGCTTCTGAACTGGATGATTACAGCTGTTTTACAATTGAATGATTTCTATTTTTCTGCTTTTAGTGATGGAAAATTCTAGTAATAAAACCTGCCCACCTCTTAAGTTTTACTTTGTGGTCCACCCTTTCAAGGCAGATTCAGTTCATCAAGAATGGCTTCCAGCTGCATTAGAAGGGTGTGTTCAGTATCCTGTTCAGTGTGAGTTTCCATCTCTAAGCAATTTGGTCATCTCTTTCTGGCAGCTCTGATCTCATAGGCTGTGTTGTCAAGACTCAGGCCGGCCACACAGATCTTCCTCTGAATAACTTTGCCATGTCCTGTAGATGCCAGCTGCTTGCACTGTAATTTAGTTTCCCCAGTTCATATTTAGGAAGACTAAAAACTCTCTAAAGAGAACACCCTGTCTTAGGCATTTCTAGCACATATTTGGTGAGAAAGCTATTGTATGGGTTCGCTGGAAACCCACAAATGGCCCAGACTTGATGTCACACATACCCCAGCCTTTCCCCAACACCTCTTTATGACACTACCATCTGCACCCTGGAATGAAAAACTGTTTTTATTGTTTCTAGAAAGAACATTTTCCACAATTTTTGTGGGTGGCCTTTCCATACAGCACACCTAACATGACTGAAACACCAGAGCGCGGCTCCTTGGGAACAAGCAGCCCCTGGAAGATTCTTGTATTTATTAGGATGAGGAGAAAAGGTAGGCTGCTGGTGTATCTTTTATATCCAATAAAATAATCATAAATGTAAGCTAAGCAAAAAATCAGTTGCCCAAATGTTGCCCCAAACACCGGCTAAGGCAATGTGAATGGAAGAGGGAGGCATTAAAGAGAGAGAGCTTGGTGGGTAGGAGATTGATGGGAGAAAAAAAGCAATGAGAGAACACATCTAGGTAGCCAATCATGGCAGAACACAACTGGGTGGCCATTGTGGCTGCTCAGTCCTGAAACAGATTGTCCTGTTCCTCAGTGCTAGGGGACAGTCGTCTCCAAAATGGGATATGCCCCAGGAGACAACCCACTATGGTGTGGGAAGAAAATATTTGTAGCACTCATGTTTGCATCTCTAATCCCTTCTTTTAAAAATTTCTACTTTCTGTTATTTTTTTAATTAGTATAGTATTGTGTGTGTGTGTGTGTGTGTGTGTGTGTATTTTTTTTTTACTGTAAGTTCTGGGATACATGTGCAGAATGTGCAGGTTTGTTACATAGATATACACGTGCCATGGTGGTTTGCTGCACCTATCAACCCATCATCTATGTTTTAAGCCCCACATGCATTAGGTATTTGTCCTAATGCTCTCCCTCCCCTTTCCCTACCACCCCCTGACAGGCCCCAGTGTGTGTTATTCCCCTCTTTGTGTCCATGCGTTCTCATTGTTTAACTCTCACTTATGAGTGAGAACATGTGGTGTTTGGTTTTCTGTTTCTGTGTGAATTTTCTGAGGATAACGGTTTCCAGCCTCATCCATGTCCCTGCAAAAGGACGTGAACTTTATAGTTACTATAATATGAGCATAGTGATACATGTATATATTTTTAAAATAAATATTTGTTCATTGGAGGTGCCTGGTTTTCCTGATTAAGGCACACAATGAAAGCAATTTGAAAATATCTACTATAGTACAAACCATCCATACACTAAAGCTCTTATTTCCAAAGAACTTACATTCTAATTAGGGAGCTGACTAAATATGTTTATGTAAACAATCAATTATTAGTTGTTTTTCGCCAGATATACACACACAATGAGTGTGGTAATGGTTCTTAATGATCATGACAGATGTGGCAAAAAGAATGAGTAGAATGGCTATAACGAACAAAGAAGCTCCATTTATCCTGTAAAAGGATGGGTCCCTGTCAGCTGAGGTTAATTCTTGTGTGGGAGGGCTCTTAATACACCAAATTAAAGTAATTTTTAATGTCTCTATGAAAGGAAATGGGAAGGAAACATATGCATCTTCACATAGGCTGTGAGCCAAGCTGTCATAGTTTCCCAGGAGGCAGGGAGCACTGTTCCATAGCATAGGAGAAATGCATTGAAAACTTCAATAATTCCATTTCTTCAGTAAGACAGCTTAATTTCCCACATGAGCCATTCCTGAGGTCTTTCTTCCAGTTAGTATTAACTAAATGTGCAGACGGTTCAGACATCTGCAAAATAAAGAGATTCAAATCTGCATGGTAGGTATCCAGGTACTCACAGTAATGTTCTTTCTATAGAGAACTTGGGCCAAGTACTTTACATATATTACCCCATTTACTCCTGATAAACAACACATGTAAGTTGCTGTCTCCCCCATTTTTTAGAGGAGAACACACTGAATCATAGAGAAGTTCAGTGGCTGATTCAAAGTCTCTTAGCTAGTGAGTTTTGAAGTGGGGATTTTACATAACTCTGCCTTACTCATGATGTCATGAAGTTCTCAAATACTTTATAAAAGAAGGCCTCGCTCTGATTACCCTGTGCAGTTTCTGGTAGCTAAGTGTGTTCTCTTGCTTCAAGGAAGAGTGGCAATTACTACTCCTCAGTCCAACATTTTTACATGTACACATCAATCGTAAATACCACAGCAGGAGCCAGCAGCCAGCCCAAATGTTTTATGATTCTTACCATATGTGTTTGATTGTGTCATTACATTGCCTGTCCTAATTAAGAAGGAACACATCTGAACTGAAGTCACTGGTTATGTGAATGCCAGAGCCACTAAAATAAAATCCTCATGAAGCTCAGATTTCCCAGCCCCAGCATGGCTTGTATAACTTCTTGAGTGATTCCATGACTGTGGTCCACCCCCAGTTTTAGAATAATTAATTGTCATTAGAAATGTTGAAAATGAATATTACTGCCAAATATATACCTAGGCAGAGAAAGCTAACCCAGAAAATTTGAGGCAGTAGGAGCACCATGCTTTATTACATAGTGTATTTGTCACAAAGATGTAAGCCCTCTACAATGTTCTCTGGGTCCGGTAATTGGTAGAAGAGGATGGAGTCACTGGAGGCAGAAAGGAATAAGTTGAATTATTGAATGACTTATCTGGCTGACTGATAATGGTGTGTCGTGATTGAGTTCTTTGGTAAATGAGGCCACATATAAGCAGAACTTGGTAAGAAATGCTTCGTACGGATTGAAAAGATGCATTTTAAGTATAGAAGGATGAAAGTGGCTGCCCTGTTGGATGTTAATATTTTGCATTTTAACTTTATAGTTTTTAAATTAAAAATGGAAACAAAATGTTGTTTCTATTTTCTTTTTAGAACTTGCATAGTCTATATGTTAAAACAGATTTATCTGAACTAGCTCTACCTACCTTCAAATAGCAAGGTTAGTGCTAGCTATGCATAAAAAAACCATTTGGGGTCAGTCAACCCATTAGGATGATCAAAGGTGACTTCAGAGAAGAAAAACAAACAAGTCCTGTCCAAACAGGAGTGTTCTTAAGCCTTTCAGAGTCAGCTAAAACAAGGTTTACACAGCTAGATGGTTTTATAGAACCTTTTGGGGTCACTGTATTGTTTAATGTTCTTATTACCAGTCACCATTACGTTGTTTCAACTTCTAAACTTCTTTGAAGTAATAATGTAGTTTGGTCTGACTATCTTTTAGAAGCACCAATCTTGGGCAGGACTGAGTAGGTATTTTCTACATATGGTAACAAGGTATGAAATAGGAAGGAAGGTGGCTGCTTTTCCTGTGCACTGGAGGAATCTGTCTCTTCACAGTCATAAGTCCGTCCCTTTATGGTTGGTCTCTTAGATGTTCTGCACATACCATTTTCAGAATACATATTTAAATCCAAAGAGAGCGAGCTTCCCAGAATGAAGCATTCTGTTTTGGAAAGGTTCACTATAAATCCAGAATCCATTGTTTCCTTAGAGGAGGAAAAATAAATAAATAAATAAAATTTGCAGCACTAGCTTCCTTTTGAAAACAGTACGTTGGAAACAATGGCCTTCACAAATAACAACGTCTGATTTTGAGACTGCACATTACAACACAGCTGAAAATTTATTGATTAAGTACACAAAAAGAAGAACAAGCCTTTTGTTTCAATCAATGAAAATTGTACTATGTATGGTGAGCACTTGTCTGGAAAAATGATCACAACACTCTTGGGATTAAAGAACACACGTCTACTAGTTCCATATTTTGACCAAAGAAACTTAAGAAAATTAATTTAGGGAAGTTCTACTTCATGTCTAAAGGTTATATGAAACAGAATGCACAATACCAAGAAGAGCTTGCATTTTAGAAGTTCACAAATCACCATCTCTGGTTATTTAAGAATATTTCCACGTTTGCAATGAGCTGCTTTCAATAACACTAGATGATTGACACATTAATCATTACATTCATTTATATCCTGGACCATTTCCAAGTTTGCATTGAACACTGGAGCAAGAACTCCTACTACATTCTTTCTCTGAGTTGAAGAGAGAAGAATAAAGCTGGTAAACAAAAATATGCAAAGACTGGAAATTAATCGGCACTTACAAGGACAAGTGCAGCAACTGTGCTTGGGGACATGTGCTGAGGGTAACATGAAGGCTGAACAGCTTAACTTCATCTATATGGGGCAAACATGTTGAACTTCTCTATGTGATTTGGCCTTAAACATTCTTTTTTTTTTTCTTTTATCCCCACAGAGCTTGTCTTCACTATGTTCAATTAAGGTAGGGAGTTGACAAATGGTTGTGGTGGCAGCTGCCTCCCTTGCACAAGTCAGCTGAGGAAGAGATCCCTGTTCACCTCTGCTCTGCCCAGAGTCAACACTGTGTGATAGCTCTCAGGATGAAACACCTCCGGGGCTTTTCATTTCTATCTTAGCCCAACTTCCCCCGCCACTTCTGGTCCCTACCTTTGAAAATAGACTTCACTCTTGTGGGCCCATTTTTAGAACATGGCAGAATCAACACTTGATTTATTCCAGCTCCCTCAGTACTGCTGAGCTCCATTCTAGGATATTCTAGGGGAGATGGTGAAGCTAATACAAATGGAGCTTGTATTTCCAGGTTTCTCTTCTCCAGCATAAGCCATATCCTGTCTCTGTAAGACAACTGTGCATTTGCATAGCACTATCTCGTTTGAACCCACTATATTCATTATTCTCATTTCAAGTGGGCAGGGTACATATTGTTCTCATTTAATGGTGTCTAATTAACACTCCAATAGTTAACTGACTTTGTAGAGAAGAAATGGAAGGACAGAGCCAGGTCCCGAACACAGGTCATCTAATTCCAGCACTTGTGGTCTCTCCCTAACCCATGGTGTTTCTCTCAGCTGGCAAAAGAAACTTATTAAAGGTATAAAAAAAGGCTTTTATCTTTAGCATCTTCTTCCTGGTGCTGCTGTGGTAACCATTTTCAGCTTGGCAATTTAAGACAGGTTCCAATTTGTGCAGATGAATAGATTAATCACGTATTCCTTAACTAGATTTAGCTATTTTGTTTTGAACATCCTGTCTTCCACCCTCCCTAGAAAGAGAGAATGGAGGAAGAAGACCTTGCCACTTAATCTGTCATATATTGGCTGATATTATTTAATTTATAAGCATTTGTTAACACAGAGTATGTGTTCACTGATGTGCCATGCAAGAATAGTAGCATAGGAAGCAGGACTCTCATGTTGAAAAAGGCTGCCCTATAGGTTGTCAGACAGAAATCTTGACTTGAAATAATTATTATAAGAAGCAGCACAGGAAGGAGTAAAAAGCTGAGGGGTGCACGTGGTTGCTAGGGGTTGGATTAGTAAGAGAAGGGTACACAGAAGAAGTGGGACCTGGCAGTCAGGTGGCATTTCAGCAGCAACTAGTGGGGAAGGAGGGCATCCTGAAGAAAGGGTGTGACTAGAGAAGGTGCAGAAGTGAGATGAGTGGGATGTGTTTGCTCTGAGGAATGGACATACCTAAGGGGTAAAAACTCCAAGGAGATCATCAAGTAATGCCTCCTTACAAACAAGTTCAGTCATGTTTGTCTGGATGAGTGCCATCTCCTTTAAGGAAGTCTCCTGGGAAGACAAGTTCCCACCATCCTGCCTGGTGCAAGTCTGTTCTGGAGCCCCTCTTAGAGGGGATGA